CTTGCGGTTTTCGACATCATTTAATTATTTTTAACTAGGGAAATCAACCAACATCGAATTGTGGCAGACAAATAAATGAAAAATGGGTGGAGACCAAGAGAGTATAGAAAACAACGAGAAGGTATCAAGGAGCTTTACTTCATATGAAGTCTGAACTCGAGTTTTGGAATTATTACTGGATGGAGAGGGCAATTTCCAATAAAACCAAATTCAAGATTCAGTCTGGATTCAGTCTCTTTAGACCAGTAGCATTTAGCCAATAAGAGCTGGTTACTACACTTTAATTTACTCTTTCTTGTAATAATTGAAAAGATAAGTGGTTTTGGAATGTTAGTTTGTAAATAGCAGCTTTAGCAAGGCAATAATAATAGAGGCGAAAATTGTACGCTAGCAGAGGTCTGTAATATGCGTTCACTCCAACTTATAAGCTTATGACCTGGCTTTTGGAAAGCGTGTTTTTGAAAAATAAGCTTGAGAGCAAAATTTTATTTTTGAATAAACGACAATCTGTGAAGCTAGTTAAGATTAGCTTAAAGTTATCTCAACAGTCTCTCCCACCCAAATATGATCCAAATCACTGGCTGAAACAAGTCCTTAAATGAGGTTCTTATTGGTCAATTATTGATAAATGAAGATCAGATTTATAGATTGGTCGATAAAAAAGATCATGAAAGTGTTGCAATGAATATGAGTGCCATAAATTTCATTTCTACTGAGTAATTGTAAGTAGAGAAGCAAAATATTCCCTCAAGGCAACATCGGCGTATGGGCGTCATAAGAAAAGATAAGGACAATGATTTAGTACTACTTGAAAGGGAAAGTGATACTGTAACATGATGATCATTTAACCCTTAAATTTTATGTTCCTTTACACCATTTTACCCTTAAGTTTCAGTCTAATTTGAACAGTCTGATAGAAATTGAAAACCTAAACAAATTTCCCCGATTGTGGGAGACTTGCTTTGCTTTACGAACTCCAAATTGATAAAAGTGGCAAAGGTTAGTTATTTATTTGAGAAAAATGCAGAAATTGTCATTCACTAATTATTAACACACAATCATTAAAAACTCGACCTTTCTAAGGCCAAAATATTGATAATTTATTTAAGCAATAAAGAAGTCCTCGTGGTCATGAATGAAATATTAGCACTTTGTTCCATTCCCCCGTTAATCCTACCTTGAGTTTGAACAAAACAAAAGAATATATATATAGTTATGGACTTCAAACCAGTAAAATTTTATCATAATAAATAACGTGATATAATGGAGATGTCAGGATTTGGCATTAATGAATACTATCGCCAGGGTGGTATTTCTATCGATTGGGTAGGTGTTTGCAGGTGCAAAATTTTCTTACGCTCCAATAATGATTTTGCGAGCTGAAACATTCCCTCACGACTTTTCTGTAGAGTATCAGCTCTTAGTCGGAATAAAAGTTACATGTTATTTAGCCTTGATAGAGCACAAAGGCTTTCAGATTTTAAAATTTCCTATTTTGTTACAACGAAGGTTATTAAGGAGTTAAAAGTTTTTGAACAATTTCTTCATGTTTGCATTATTTTGAATTTTCCTTCTAAATTTAATAAAACCTCATTCATGGGAGTACCGCAAAGAGATAATTTAAATTCTTAAATCAATTCTGTCTTCGCACATTTTTACACTGATTGTACCCATAATAATTGTCAAGATAATCGAATTAATTCAAAACTTGCAGTCTATTACATGCAATTTTGTATTTCATTGGTAAAATTGGTTTCAATGGAAGACTGCTCTTTTCTGTCTGAAGTTTGCACATTGACAACGAATACTGCCAGCGAAATAGTATGTTAGCTGTCATTTCTGTAAATCCAAGGAACAATAAAGGTTAGGAGCGAAAGTGATCTCATCGAGTTCTTCGGATTGGAACATGAAAATATGTGAAAACACTTTAATGAAGAAATAAAATTCAATCCAACTTTACATAAAAGATTTACTTCGAAAAATAGCTTGTCAATCGCTTTGTTGGATTTTCTCTCTTATCTAGAACATGTTATTGTCGAAGGGATGGTAATACAATCTTGAGTTTCTGGAAAACTTTCAATTTATTCTCTAATTTTTTATATCTTTAGTTAATCTTTACTTAAAATTTAGTTCTTTTAAGAATTAAATGCACTAAATGTATATGAGGAAAACCTCATGTTAATATTTACAGCGGGATATATAAATCGTAAATGCGTTGGAGATATTAATGGTTAAATCGTCTACCAGGAGAATAAAACCCGAATTGTGGCTACCCAATCGATATATACTTGGCTTGATTTGAATTCGATTTTAATCAAGTTCGATTATTCTAGAAAAAAAGGCTCTTTTTATATTTGATTCATCTAGAATACAGGGCTCTTTCACCCCGACCTATCTACAAACTTGGTACCCCTAATTAGCAATTGCCTTATGAATGGAGTAACTAAGCGAAGCAGATGCCCATTCCTCTAAAGTCGGTTCATTAAGTTTATAACGCGAATACTCATGGGGGGGGGGGTCGTATTGATTGACTCATCCGGTGAAGAGGGCAGGTCTATACATGTATTTAAGTCAATGTCCGAAGGAATGGCTACCAACCTTGCCTCCATAATGTTTGGTCTTTATTCCCAACCATACATTGAGATTCTCTCTCATTCTAAGACAAGATGCAAAATTCTGCAAGCCGCATACCAATATTGTTCTCTTTATTGCACCATTTTGCTCAGATTTCATAAGTGTTGCTGGAACTTTCCTTATGCAGAAAATATGGTAAATGGGACGGCTAACAGTTAATATGAAGTTTCTCTTGATCTGAAAAGGCACTAATTTTTTTAACGATGCTTCTACGATTAATTAATTTTCTTCTTTTAAGTCACAGAGGCCATAGAATTTATGTCCTTCAGTTGAAATCACTCTAACGGCTACTTGTAGTAGCTGATTCTGGTCATCAAATCGGTTCCAGCAAAGGAGACTTTCCTTTTGCTCAACTGTTACATATACTGCTCTTAGTGAAAGTGAAAAAAATTTCAGGTTTCCTAATGCGAGAAACACTTTGAAAACCAATTAATTAAGATGAATCTCTTTTTGGTTCTTCAAATCTAAAGTTATTGAACCGCCAGGGAAATCATTTTCAAAATTTTATTATTAATTAAGGGAAGATAATAGTTTATTAGATATATTTTAAGCATGTTGATATGGAATCACAATTTTGTATTTTGGCACTCAATTATATGATCTCATTTAAAGATAATGTCTAATTATTCGGCTACTCAGGAGAATGCGCTTAATGAGACGACAGTCTAATTACATTTTAAGTCGAGTAGCCTTTTATGATCTACTTGCGTTGGTAATCTTAATTAATTCCATATTAATTGAATGAAGTTGGATAATAAGTTCTTTGTCATGCAGATTCAAAGTCGATAAACTTGACATCAATCAGAATGAACCTTTGTATCAATGGAACGTATTAATTGTATTAAAATTGTCATGCCATTTACCGAGATTAAATCACTCAAAGGTTTCGCATTCTACTACATTGGGTATGAAGAAGGTAAATTAGTTATTCATAAGTGTCCTAGGACCTGCAAAGTTCAATCTTTTATATCAGGAAAAATCCCATTCCTTACTATTTCATCTTCAACCTAAGTAGGTTGAAACTTTTAGCAAAAACCTCGAAGTATTATGTGAGCCCATATGTGAAGAACAACTTAAAAATCAAGCTGTTCAACCAAGATCTCAAAGTAAGCTTGTAATGAAAGCAGAAAATTTTTATATTCAAGTTCTAGGTGTTCGCTTGGAGGCAATAAGACGTCCATTATTAAACATGAAGCAGAGAATACGAAAACACCTCTATTGAAAATTTCATAATTCCACCATGACTGACCTAAGGTTTTGTTCAATGCCGATTCTTATTTACTATAACCTCTTTCAACCCACTCGATGTTATCTCCATGCTTATATCGGCTTGTCTATCTAATGCTCCGGTTTCAAAATGTCAACCCCTAAAGAACAAGCTCAGCCCGTTAGTCTTATAAGTAGTCCAATTCTATCACCAGTCTAACACCGACGTCCATGCTTCTACATAGTAGTATATCGCTGAACATCATCTTGTCCATTCATGAGAGATACAAAGGGAGAGAGGGAGAATTAAAGGGTCTCCGCTGTACTAAATAATTTAAAGTAGTATAATCACAAACGACTGTGGCTCACAAATTACAAGTAAGTAACAGAAATACGTTGAAGGAGTTATTAGTATGGGATTAACTATTAATAATTACAAATTGTTTCCATAGTTCGTAAATCAATCCAGAACCACGGTGAATGAATTTGGTGATCAGTCAATTGACCCGAGAGAATAAAACCGGTCAATTGTAAAATGCTAAGTCCGCCTTTACTTCAATTTAAAATCCTTCAAAATTTTAATGTCATGCTTTCGTTGATTGATAAATAATAGCACTATTTATTACCACAGTACCAATATAAGTACAAAAGAATAACTTATATTATCTTTGAGAGAGGGCACTTTCGAATTTGAAACGCTTGAAAGAAATCGCAAGAAATATATCGTCTCCCCGAGACTTTATCATTCAATTACCTCGTCCCAGTTAACTCTAATTGCACACTGCCAACCGGTTAACTTAATTCATTGAGTGAAAGTTAATTAGAGCAAATCTTTTGAGAAATTGGGAGGATTTTGACCAAATGAAAATTGTGTATTAGAAAATTCATTTTAATTCTGTCATTGATTTCGTTTAGCTTTAAAATTAGATAAATATGTATATTAGTTGGTTTTAAATTTTTTCATCTATCAAAGTGTTAAAAATGATTGAATTAAAAATGAGGAAAATCAATTAGCAAATGAAGGTTTAAGAAATGTAAACAGCGGAAAACTTTATTAAAGAAGTTAGGACAAAATTTTTGAGAGTAGAAGGTAATCCAATTTTTAATTGTTTCAAGTCCTTATTTACTAATCTTTTTGCCACACCTGCTAGCCGACTTCCCTACTTTGCCCTTGGTCGAGACTTGGACTTTTCTGCAAAATAAGAACAAATATTTTAGCGTTGGAACGTTCTTCTTAGTGAGTTTACCCTTATGATCTGTGATGGACTTACTCTTTTTGTGCTGCTGGGGATGTGATTTTGGCTTCGAGCTCTTTTTAACATGTTTTTGGCGATAATCCTGTTCTAAATGTGAATAATGGTAGTAAGAAAATTATTCCTTAAACTTAATTATGGATTTATCTATCTTAATTGTACCGAAGCCTGAGCTTGAAGAACTTGAAGAAGATCTACGTCTTGAAGATTTTCTTGGTTTTCCTGCTGATTGAATTAAAATTGCTTTGATGGTTATTTAAATCTCTTATCATATATAAGTTTTCATGAAATTTGGCTTTCTCACCGGGCATGAAATTACGGCCAGATTTGCTGTTCTTTCGTGAGTCATATCGATCTAAAATTTGAATAAAAAAGCTATTTTAAAATGCATGTAAATAGGTTGTTAAAATCTACTATTCTGCGTAAAAGCGTTGGTTTGTGGTAGAGTGATTAGTCGTTACTTGGACAACATGCGTTCTATTCAAAAGAAACCGGTTGTGAGCTCAATGATCGACTATACTCTGAATGGCAATTAGCTACTTTCATTTTCTGATATGTGACTGCTTTTAAAAGATGCGCAAAAGCAAGTTACAAGCGTAACAGGCTAAAAATTTTCATTACATGGACAATCCTTATTGTGTTCGAATATCATTATTGGAGAAGTCGGAGGACCCATTGGTATATTATTTCGCCGCTGAGGAGCTAAATTTTGTGGCAACAACAATAGCACCAATTATTGTATCAGGTAGTATTAATGACCAAGCGTTAAGCCTAAATCTGTTAGTATGATTACATTTGCTCCCGGCTTTGGTCTTCATTGGTGACTTATCCCGCGAAGAAACTATATCATTTCTACGACCGTATTTACCTAACATTAAGAAACATGATACATATAAAAGGGCCCTGAAGTGTGAACAATTAAAGTGTTATTACTGAAGAGTTAAGCCTAGAGATGTGATAGTTTAAAGTGCACCGTTTGGGTTTAATGGAAACCGTACTTAGATTACGCGGATGAGATGATCTTCGACCTTTGCCACTGTGTTTGCAATCTATGTTAAAAGCAAATAATTTTCAATTTTATGGCGTCGAGCAGATAAGAGGGTTATTCGGATTATTATTATTATTACTTGGGCAGGATGAATCCTGACTGGATTCTGACGAGCTACTAGAAGGAGATCTTCCTTTATGGCCCCTCCGTGGACTCTGTTTGAAGTCTGGAGTTCAAAGTGAATTTATAAAGAGATAAAAACTAATAACTCGTATTAATTAGTACACCATCGATGTTATATACTTGAAAAACTGTGCTGAGAACTAGAACTTGAACTTGTAGATGTGCCAGAAGATGAAGATCGTGTGCTGAAATTACCTCGCTGTTGACTTGATTTAGAGTCTGTTACAACGAAATTAAGATTTTAATGAGGTTACAATATTTTCTAAAGAAGCATTTTTTCAGTTGCAATTACGGGGAATTGAAGTGGACTGCTCATAGCTTGAGCTTGAAGATGTACTTGATTTGGGATATGCATTAGAATAGCTTTTTTGATAGTATTGTTTTTCATCTATGGACGTAAGATTGCAATTAAGACAATGTTGGTAGAACGCTAAGCTAGGAGAGTTAGTGCTAGGCAGAACAAGCGTTATATAACTACGAGAAGATGTTGGTTCAAGATATTAAATGGAATAGCTAGATGAGTTACTTGAATATGGTTTCTCTGAGCCGCTTCGTCGTTTATTTTGAGTGGAACCTATTGTGAGCAAATCTTATAAAATTGAACTCGCAAGATAGCGTTATGCTCAAACAAGTTCACAATTACGTTTATCAGGCCGAGCAGTCGGTTTTGCGGTAGATGATCTAGCTTTCCGTTCCACTCTTGATGTATTCTTTGGGGGTTGCCTTCTATGTACTGTGATATTTAAACGATAACAAGAATAATTTTTTTCTGAAGCCTTCATGATTAATGATATATTATGTTAGGATTAGATTGTGGAAAAGCTATGTTAGATATCGTTTGATTTACTTGGACAATCTTCTTGATAATTGACATTTATACGAGGAGGATTTAGTTTTCGACCTTGACTAGGCATACCTATGGTATAAAAAGGTCAGCTATGTTTAAGCTCTGTGCAAATGGTAGGTGAAAGGAGGATTGAATTAATTAAATCAATTAGCGCATTAGTGGAGACACTCAACAAAGCAGAGAAAACTTCATCAGAAGTCTCCAAATAGCCCAAGTTGCTATTATATGAGGAACTAAATCGATTCTGAGTATTTTGGTTTCTTTCCCTTTTCTAAGAGGAGCCAGAAAAACTGTCCTGGATTAAGTGTCTAACGTCGTGTAAGTGGAGCCGAATTTCACATAACAGACTTCACGAAATCTTGACATTAATTAGGCAAAGTAAACCTCACTAATGCACTTAGTAATAAACTATGTTGGGAGATCTCAGTAAGTGCCATATATCCACCTTGAGACTTAATTTCATTATTAAATAAATGCGGTTATATGTGAAAATTTCGAAGAAAAGAAAAAGACAATGAAATCTACGAAACGTACCCTTTGGCGAAGTAGAACGATGTCTTGGCCGATTTTTGCTCCTCGGGTCACGTTTGTGCTTCATCAACTGGTAATATTCTATGGAACAGAAAAATTTGTTACATTAAAATTAATTATATTTTTTAAAAAAATGTGAATGAAACGAACTCGAACCTTGTTCAAAGGACATGGTTGAGGTTTCTGAATCGGATGAAGGAATTGATGGGGAATAGAGAGGACAGTGGGCTTCGTGCTTAACCGCGTACATTCCTTCACAGGTAGAAATAATAAAATTCAAGCTACTTCATTTGATTAGAAATTACTATATAACAGGAAAGTCTTGAATTACCATCAGAAGATTCGGAAGATAGTGAGTAATCACGATGTTTTGAATGACGCTTCTCGCCATGGCGATTACCTGTTTCAAAATAAAGTCCGATATTGATTAAAAGGAAACCAACATGACTTCAAAAAATCAAAGTGACAAACTATATGAACTTAAGTGAAATAAAATGATCGTAATCGATCGAAATTATGATAAACCGTACGGGAAATCTTAATTATAACAGAGTTTATTCTACTATGGTGAAAGCTTGTCAAATGTAATTGGAATTGAATAGAACAAGCTTAGTGCGTAAAAGCTAATTTAAAGAATATCCCCCTTCTTATTGTCAGTATGTTAGTGCAGAAGTAAAAGAATACGCGGAGTGATAATTAAAGGCAAAACAAGATGGGGAGTTCCTTTGTCGATGCGAAGGATTAACTTACGGCCTGAATTGTGTTCAAACCATCTATCTATATCGTCTGCAGAATTATTAAGAGTTAAACTATGGATGAAATTTAAACTCTCCAATATTTCCTCAAGCATAGATCACTTAATTTAAACAAAACCAACTTACATCCTGGTCGACTCCCTGGGAGTTGGGGCTTAACTGAGGAAGAGAGTAATCGGATGAAATAAATGTACGAAAGTAAGAAGGAAGAGGTTTGACTTACACTTGCTCATTGTCATGCTGTAAGAGCGTTTCTCTACTGATCAATGTGCAGCTAAGTGCGTATCTGCCTTGGTGATCGCCAGGATTTTAAGGTGTAACCTCTAATTAAGTGAATTCACTGGAAGGGAACCAATCTGGAGGGTTACGCGCTCAGCACATATTCTATGCTCGGATAATTGGATTATTTTGAACAGTGCAACCATTGATTCCAACCGTGTGAAACACTACGGTTGTCTGCCATTAAATGATAATAACGCAGATTATAATATATTCACTTGGTACTTAATATGTTTCGCCTTTTAAAATGTTTAAAATTATCGCTTGTTAAAGGAATTCCACTTCTTTAATGTAAGAAAAAGTGAATAGTATTCTTTGCCAAAATTTTTTACATGCACTCCATAAAATTTAATAAGAACAAATGAGGCAAATTTGAGGTGGGACTGATTTTTAAATAAAAAATTTTTTTCAATGTAATTTATTATAATGCCATAAGTATTAGAGAACCACATGAATAAAATGTGCCTACTTATATTCTTATTCGAGAACTTGACCACAGTTGGACTATTTCTGTAATAGGAAATCAGGAGAGATTTCCATATCTATCGAAAAGAGTTCATTGAAACGCCCATACTAGCTCACACAGTTATGACATATCTTTCACTTTCATTAGTGAGGTTATAAGTAAATGTGCAGGACATATTTATCAATCATATTAGCCATGTCAAACAAGCAAGTCAAAGCACAATTCATCCATTTACTCTACTGATGTGTCCGTTTCCACCTACGTCTCTCAAATATGCCCGATTTCCACTAAAACACCAGTGTGACCTCGAGAATTTAGTGCGTCAGTACTAATCAAGTGTAAGAAACATCACCTTGTTCTGTCTGTCGAAAATACTACAAATCTCCTCAGACAGCCAATCTTCTTTACCATCTTTGCTCACATATTAATTCCTTCTCAATTGCATTTCATTATGATGTTTGCATTTCTGATATTATACTCCAGTTACGTCAACATCGATTGTGGAGTATTCCATTAATGCACTATAGTTTTTATACACAGTTGAATCACACAAACATGTGGCTATGTGTTGAGATGTCTATCACAAATCACAAATTCTAGCAAGTTGTCACACAATTCTTGCAGAGATTTCTACTGCAAACAACATGACATACTACTTGACTAAGTGAATATTTATTTATGAATCGATAAGCAGGCTATTTTAATGAGTTGTTTAGTGTATTGGAAGCCAGCAGATTATCATCCACTGGCATTGAACTATGCCCCCCTGGCCAATATATTAACCGACAATCTCTCTCCCCACCCACACAATCTAACGATTCTCTCACGCTCGTTCACTCTTCCTTTCTCACTCCTCCACCCTCTCC